GTATTTATTCACTGACTGTTATTATTATTTATTATTACTATTTGACCCTGTTGTTGTCGATTGTTACCTTCTTCAATACAATACTTTCATATATCATATACGTATATTCATAAAATTTGTTTTTATTACTAAATGCAAAAATTCAATACTGAATGTTGTCTTTTGCAAGTTGCCATAAATAGATATATGTAACGAATGAAGGACTCAGGTAGAGAAGACCAATTTATTATTTTGTGCAAAATTACAGGGTGCTTTAGTAAAATACAAAAAATCATACATTAAATACATCATTTTCACATCTTCCATCAGTTGTCTTTTACAAACCCCATTGTTCCTTCATTCCTATTATTATTCTGATTGCTCTCAGTTTTCTTTCTTGCTTCTCTTCATTTTAATCTTCTGAGTGCAGGTATTCCACTTCCGATTGCTGCCACATACTACTTATATCTGTCAACATAAGTAGCATACACCATATATATATATATATATATATATATATATATATATATATATATATATATATATCACGCTTGTGAAAGATCATTGGAAGTGATATATCTATGAGGTCGTTCTTTTTATATTCCAATAATAATGTATTTTTTTTCTAAGCTAATCGTTGAAGAAAGTATACTTTACTGATGAATCAGTAGGATTCATCATAGCGGTTATTGGAATTTTGCACAGAATTCAATATGTGATGATTGGTTTATATCGTAATAAGAGCTAATAGTTATTAAGACGTGACGATTTTTCGCGAAAATAGTAAAAAATACATAGAATTAATAGGTATACAAAGTTTCCACATGATTTATGAATTTCCCAAGGTAACTTAAAGGTTCTTGAGATTTGAAATCGATGAACTACCAATGTAAGTATAGCTATGAGACATTCCCCCACTGTGACTTCAACTCCTAATTCTAGCCTTGTTTTCGTTTATATGTGGGTGTTAGGTTCTTGATTCGTCTACCAACTAATATGCGGAGGATAACTTGTCTCAATCTAGATCAAGACTTTGATGCGATAAGCCGACTGGTTTAACTTTGAGACTAGTATGCGTAGATTCGATGTGAGAATAAATGCTTGGGGTAGACAGACGAAAACTATTCTATCACCTGATTGGATGATAAACGGCCGCGATAGTAAAGGCGAGGTAACTGGAACGCTAGTCGATTTATTCCCTATTCCAATCTGGTTCCGATTCAGATTACTGTCAAAAGGTACATGAATAAACAGATGCTTAACAAGACCACAATTTACAAACAATTAGGAAAATGTAATTACGTCCAAAACTGGGGATTAGGGTAGAAAATAGAGTATAAAAGATTTCGTTGCAACAGCTTTGGAACAGATAAGGCTATGGCAGTGAGTCATATATCAAGCAAAAGCTTATGGTCTAGAATAAACTAGGAAAAAAATAAATTACTGTTTTAAATAAAATAACGTCCCCGAAAATAGCTTCCGTAGTTTGTCAGGGCTTCCTGTTTCTCTATTCACATCAGTAGTGAACTATTCACTCAAATTACTTACATCCTGATTGTCTTTACTATCTCAAGGTCATTTTAAATCTTTAAAGTCCGTCCGTTAAGTATACTTTTACCTTTTTTAGAAAGAAGAATGAATCTAACTTATTGTATTTCAATATTTTTGGTTCGCAATCTGACTAGTTACAATGAAGTTTTCCTTTGTGAATGTCCCTTGTCTATAGATTAATGATCATACTACATCATTTAACTGCTGAACATTTAAGAAACGAAATCAATTATATTTAAAATATCATAATGAAGGCATATTAAACGTTACTTAATAATACAGATGAAAGCTCTTGTTAGTAGATAAAATACAGAAGTAATTGATTTGAAAAATCAATGAAGAAATGGTTCACATTAGACATTACCAAAACTACATAAAGATCAAGAAGTAAGTTTGTGTGATTGTAAATGACTCAGTAAAGTGAAATGTACTCCGAAAATGGTTCAAATTTTCTACACTATTCTGTCATTGATTAAGTTGTACAATTCATTTCCATCGATCATTCTTCTTGTAACTTGAGCGTTGTATTTCTTGGGTGAAATTTGGACACTGCGTTCGGTTGTTTGGTATTCTGTGTTTCAGTTCACTGCAAAGGCAAATAATACTGCAACTAGCTAACTTTACTCGCTCGAGTTATTTCGGAATTGTCTGTATTCTCACGTTTCGAAACAAGAGAAATTATCAGTAATAAGTAACCGACGCGCCTCATTTTTGTGAGACTACATCAATGACGACGTCTAGTATGAAGAATATTCCTAAATAGCTAAAATCAACAGTTATGCACCTATTTTATGTCTAATTCTGACCACCCCTAGCTTTTTTCTATTCAACTACTACGCTAGTAAATTGGCAGGTCAAACCACGTAGCATTTCTGTAATTAAATCACACGTTCAAGACATCTAAATCGATAGGGTTTTGTCACCATTTCTTAGCACTACTCTATTTCGAACATTAGCACTACATATTCGCCGACTCCATGACAAACGAACCCCCCAACGTTACCTAGCATCGAATATTTGGAGTGTAGTGATGTCTAGTAAATTTGATGACTATGATTCGGTCACCTTCAGAGACAAAAAATAAACCCAGTTTTTTTGTTTAATGACGACAATAAATAACCTGACGATATTCATTCTGTCTGTCTATAGTTTAACACTTGAATAGGTATCACACTGCACATGGGCAGAATTTTTCGAAGGGCAGTTCAACTGGTCTGCTGCTCAGGCAACATCGGTCAGACTGTCCTGCCCTCCATGGCCGGTGACGACTGATCCACCAAATGAGGTGGAAGTCCGCAAGGAACTCCAACTCCTGAAACGCTACAAATCACCGGGCTCAGACGACTTACCTCCGGCTCTTTTTAAAGATGGTGACTTTCTGACTAAGGGTCTGGGAACTAGAGAGTGTACCAACGTCATGGAATGAGTCGATAGTTGTCCCTATCTTTAAAAAGGGATCACGTCGTTCTTGTAACAACTATCGGGGGATAAGTTTACTTCCGATTGCGTCCAAGCTATTGGCTTCCGTTATACTTCGTAGGTTGTTCAGAACCCGAGAAGGATTGACTCGCGAGGAGCAGGCTGGGTTTCGTTCTGGTCGAGGATATATTGATCATATCTTCACACTCCGCCAAATGTTAGAACACCGTCATATTTATCACAAGCCAACAATCGTAGTGTTTCTTGATATAAGGGCTGTCTTCGATTCGTTGGGTAGGACTGTTCTCTGGGATTTTCCATTGAAGAAGGGTGTGCCTGAGAAGTTTATTAACATCCTAAAAGCCCTATATACAAACACCTCAGACAGAGTGAGGGCATACAACCACTTTTCTCCATTATTCCATTCGAGCAGTGGGGTTAGGCAGGGTTGCCCAATCTCACCATTCCTCTTCAACTTTGCCATCGATGACATTCTGGAAACAGCTCTGATGGATGTAAGTAATGGTGGTGTAGATCTGTTACCTGGAGAAAGACTTTTCGACCTTGAGTATGCGGATGATATTGTCTTACTGTGCGAGAATGTTCAAGCCATGCAATCCGCACTTAATCAGTTGGCAATCAATGTCCGTAGGTATGGTATGTGCTTTGCACCTTCGAAGTGCAAAGTACTTCTACAAGACTTGCAGGATTCTAATCTTGTACTCACTCTGAATGGTGAGCAAATAGAAGTAGTCAAGAAGTTCGTGTACCTAGGTAGCTGCATAAGTGCTAGTGCTGACGTGAGTGATGACATCAATGCACGTGTAGTGAAAGCCAGAGCGGCTTATGCAAATCTGGGCCATCTTTGGCGCCTTCTTGATGTCAGTCTGACTGTAAAAGGTCGGATCTACAAGGCGTCAGTGAGAGCAGTTTTGCTCTGTGCTTGTGAAATCTGGCTTCTCCGAGTTGACGATGTTAGACGACTCTCCGTGTCTGATTATCGTTGTTACCAAAGGATTGCTGACATCCAGTGGCAACACCATGTACATAATGCACAGAGACGATAGTTTAATTGGTGTCATCATCTTGAAACACCGACTCCGGTGACTTGGACATGTTCTACGAATGTCATCCCAGCGAATCCCATGTCGTGCATTATATGCCGACGCTGGGACTGGTTGGAAAAAGCGGAGAGGTGGTCAGTGTATGACATGGTGTTGTGGTACGGAAGAAAGCTGCGCAGGACTGGGTTCTGTAGGTCCTTCACGACTCCCTGGTTGGGGTCCGAGAGATGGTGTAACACAGTGGCTGGAGACGTTATCAGATATGGCTCAGAATAGAAGCCAGTGGCGATCCCGCTGTAACCTTCTTTTACTTTCTTCATAAAAAGTGGTTGCTTCTTCCTTAACTGTAAGATTTCTTCTGATTGTACCTTTTCGTTTCCCCCATTATTACTACTATTAGACTACCTTACACTAATCTGGTCGTCATTGTTCTCTTTTTTTTATAATTCCCTACGCTCCTTACCTTTTTTCCATTCTCCTTAAATTCTCATTGTTTTGTGTGGCGCATATATATTTGGTGCCCCTTGTACCAATATTTATGTGTTCAAATAAATAATAAATAAATCACACTGTACAGCAACCACAAAGTCTGGTTTAGGTTTATTTATGTGAACGATATTTCTGATTATTTCAGAAAACTGCGGAGTCATATGCTACTGCTTATAATCTAATTAGACAGGATCAAAGAAACCTATCGGAATCGTGTAACTTATTATTGCTTTTATCTACTTTTAGACAGTCATGGTCATAGGTCCAGATTATTCTAACAAATAGTTGGCAACGTTGGGTAATATGGCTTAGAATCAATCATAATTCCCCGAATGGATTCACTCTTCATCTTCCTCTAGACGGTGACATTGTTACTACTTCTACAGCTCAGGAATTTTATCTTGACAATCTTATCTCTCTGTGCAGATATGAGGTAGCGAATTGAAATGAAGCATATGTGTCATGTTCTACGCTGCTTATAACAGAATGACTCAGACTATGCTTTAAAAGAGTATAATGTTATTTACACAATCCAGATAACAGAACATCACTTAACAATATGTAATGTACTGCCCTGAAAATTGTCTATAGACTGTTAACACATGTAATTTTTATTACCTAAACAAATCACATGGTGAAAAAGCTATAAGCTAAACAAAATCGATTGTTAAAGTTATAAGTGACAGTATTTCTGAAATATTTATTCATCATCATACAATACTTGCTCGATTCTATTTTAAAAAGAAAAAGAGCATTATATAAAGATAAATGCATCTTTTAATTTGATTGGATAGTTTTAAGTAGAGTCCCTCCGACGGATAGAAGTTGTAAATATTCATCAGCTCCATCAATTAGTCGAGAATCAGCAACCTAAATATCATTTTTTAACAAAAAAATAAATAAATAACTTTCTTAACAAAAGAATAACAATTAGAAACACTGTTCGTAAGTTCTCTAATTTTAAAACAATGTTATGTATTGAACAAAATTAATCATTATCAAGAATAAACATAATTTTTATAATCCTCTGTGATAAATGTCACGTTTCGCGTGATCTCCTGCGAGTGCGACTGAGCAGTACGGCTCGGGTTAAGCCTGGACGGTGTCTGGCTCTCCAATCAAACGGGATTGAGCTGTACTGTTTGAGTTGTCACGTGAGAATCCGAATGGTGTCCGGTCCTCCTGAAAACCGATGTCAAATTACCCTAGCCCATAATGGTATATTGTATAACTTTGATTGCTCCCGAATGCCCAGGTACGGTGGAGGTGGGGGAGAGTCAGCTCTCCCTCTCGAAATGCTCTCATATGGCCACGTGCATACAACCACTACCAGGGAAGAACTACTCACTGCCTTCTCGGAGGTAGGGGTGATGTTTACGAAATTGAAAGGAAGAAAAGCGAATGTTCAGTGTTGTAACTGGGTTGGTGGACATGGAGGGTCCACCTAAGAGAGTTGGAAAACCCTGATTCCAAACTAATTCTCTACATGGGCTCTAGTATCCTGAAGGAACGAATAACGTATGGACCAATTGTTGATCACCGGCAACCATGGGACCGCATCTTCTGACGTCGCTCCACTGCCTTATGGATTAGACCTTCAGGTCAAAGGCTCAGGGTGTGGCCCCCCAAGGAAACCACCTGCTTCGGTTTGGGCACCCGGGCAGTATCCCAGCCCTCATACAAATCGAATGATTTATGTGAGGTATATCTGCTTAGTGCCTCCTTGTACTAATGTTTATGTATTTAACTAAATAATAATAAATAATACCTAAACCAGACAGCTATTTACTTGTTTGATGGATTGACTCAAACCTTTATTTAAAATCATTACAGAGAGGAAGACAGAACTCATTTAACAAGTGTTAGCTGATTGGGATTAGTTGATCCACCTAGGTTATATAAGGGCTACTGATATTAACTGATTCCTTAAATCAGACTAGATGAAGTATGATTTAAACCTGCAACTAATTATTTCAAAGGAAATTCCTCCAACCACCAAGCTATTGATTCTTTCCCATAGAGTTCTCAACATAAGAATTATTAGTTGACTGAATTCAATCTGAATGGTATGGAATGAGATTTTTAGTTAAGAAATGGTAAAAATAATCTAATTATAAGAAGTCTAAATTATATCATAAGGATTATTGGAATTTCGGTGGAATTTTATCCAAGCTGGGTAGTTCAATTATGAACTTTCGTCAACCTATCTAAATTTTTCCGTACATGACTAACAGCTTGTTCTATCGACATTGATCTTAAATAGTTGTTTATTGAACATTGTCCTAACACTGAGATTTATCAGCTTCAAATGTATTTTAAATATAAAGTGAAATAGATTATTTAAATTTCAGACTAATATTCATGTTTTATTATTAAATACAATACGATGATTGCTGAGTAAATACAAAAAAGCAAACTACTTTTAAGCAGTACTTACGGCAAGAGATTCTAAAATAGATGCTTTTTGAATGCAGGATAGTTTGTCATCATTGATTATATGTTCGTGCAGTTGATAAGTGGTCTGATGTGCTGAATAACCTTCCAATAATAAATTCTGAAGACAATATTAACGAAAGAAATTAGTTATGGGAAGAGATTTTATAATAAGAAAAAACGAGTTTTGCATATTTTCACCGTTGAAAACGTAAACTGATACCAACTAGAGCGTTGCTGGAATAATCATTAAGATTGATTGAGATTAGTAATCAAGTATATATATATATATATATATATATATATATATATATATATATATATATATATAATTTATTTATTTATTTTAACACATAAGTATAGGTACAGGGAGGCACCAAATACATATGCGCCACACAAATCTCAATTGATTTGTGTGAGGGCTGTGATACTGCCCGGGTGCCCAGACCGAAGCAGATGGTTTTCTTAGGGGGCCACACCCCGAGCCTTTGACCTGAACGTCTGACCCACAAGGCAGTGGAGCATCGTAAGGAGATACAGTCCCATGGTAGCCGGTGACCAACGATTGGTTCATACGCCATTTGTTCCTTTAGGATACTGGAGCCCATGTGCATATATATATATATATATATAGTTGATTTGAAAAAATGTAGAGATGGGTAGATAAAGATATGATATGATTCCATAAAGTCGTTGATTGAAGACAAGTATGGAAAAGTGAAGTCAAACTTTTTAGGGGTCATTCAATATTTATAAACAATCGTTAAAAACAGTGGGCAAAATGGAGCAGAATCGGTAGCACTGACGTAGTTTCATTCATTCACCATCTTCCTCTTTATTTAAATCGTATGTAAAATAAATTTTCACTCCTCAATTTCTTCTGTTCCTTCAACAACTGTATTTCACACGCTTATGTTTCTAGAGCTATTGGATCGTATTTTATCTGCATTGCTTCTTATCATGTTGATTTCTGTTTTTTCTGTGCTCATAGTTAATAATCATACTTAATAACCTCAGCAGCACCAAAAATGGTAAAGTGAATTTCCTGAATGTCATACAACCAGATCCCTTGGTAAATCTAAACCAAGCAAAAACGACAAGGTTTACAGAATAAAATAAATTTATTCTATTTCACGGTTTCTCATCAGCTGCATACAACCTAAAATTACAATTACTAAAATACATATAATTGATTCCAGCCGTAGATTCCTAAGGATGTGTTCAAGAAACCTTGTATAGGTCCTTCTCTCTGTCCTTGCTATGGACTTGCAACCATACTTTAATTACGCCTGTTACTCCTCGCGAAGGAGCATAGGCCGCTCACCAGCATTCTCCACCCAACCCTGTCCTGGGCAATCCTTTCCAGATTTTTCCAGTTCTTATTCAACCCTTTCATATCCGCTTTTATTTCTCGACATAATGTGTTCTTTGGCCTTCCTCTTTTCCGCTTTCCTTCAGGATTCCAAGTTAGCGCTTGCCACGTAACGCAGTTTGATGATTTTCTCAATGTATGTCCTATCCATTTCCATCGTCTTTTCCTAATTTCCTCTTCCGCTGGAAGCTGGTTGGTTCTCTCCCACAAAAGGCTGTTGCTGATGGTATCTGGCCAATGGATGTTGAGTATCCTGCGTAGACAGCTCTTGATAAATACCTGTACCTTCTTGATGGTGGTTGCTGTAGTTCTCCAAGTTTCAGCTCCGTACAGTAGAACTGTGTTGACGTTCGTATTGAAGATTCTGACTTTGATATTGGTTGAAAGTTGTTTTGAGTTCCATATGTTCTTTAATTGGAGGAATGCTGTCCTTGCTTTGCCAATCCTCGCCTTTACGTCTGCATCTGAACCTCCTTGTTTATCGACGATGCTTCCTAGGTATGTGAAGGATTCCACATCTTCCAGAGTTTCGCCATCAAGAGTGATTGGATCGCTATTCTCCGTGTTGTATTTGAGGACTTGGTTTTCCCTTTGTGTATGTTGAGGCCTACTGATGCAGAGACCGCTGCTACACTGGCTGTCTTTATCTGCATTCGTTCGTGTGTGTGGGATAGGAGGGCTAGGTCATCTGCAAAGTCTAAATCGTCTAATTGGTTCTGAGCTGTCCATTGTATGCCGTGTTTTCCCTCAGACGTTGAGGTTTTCATAATCCAGTCGACCACCAGAAGAAAGAGGAAGGGAGAGAGTGGACAGCCTTGTCTGATTCTGGTCCTTACTTGGAATGCATCGGTCAGCTGTCCTCCATGCACTACTTTGCACTGTAGTCCGTCTTATGAGTTCCGGATAATATTGACAATCTTCTCAGGAACTCCGTAGTGTCGAAGAATTTTTTCATAACGTTCTCCTGTCTACACTGTCAAATGCCTTTTCATAATCAATGGAGTTGATGTACATTGACGAGTTCCACTCAATTGATTGTTCGACGATGATCCGTAGTGTCGCAATTACGGAATCCAGCTTTTTGATCTCGAAGTTGAGCATCTACTGTGTCTTTCATCCTGTTCAGTAACACTCTGTTAAAGACCTTTCCTGGTATTGACAGTAATGTAATGCCTCTGTGATTTTCACACTTGCTCAGGTCTTCTTTCTATGAAATCTTGATGAGGTGTCCTTCCTTCCAGTCCATCGGCACTTGTTCCTCTCCCCAAATCTTCTTGAATAGAAGGTGAAGCATGTTCGTAGTTACTTCGTTGTCTGACTTCAGTGCTTCAGCTGGTATATTGTCGGGTCCTGCTGCTTTCCTGCTCTTGATTTGTCTGATGGCCATTCTGATTTCTTCTGTCGTTGGTGGATTGACATCTATAGGAAGATCTGTGTGTGCTGCTTCGATGTCCGGTTGATTCATTGGAATCGGCCTATTCAGAAGTTCCTCGAAGTACTCTGCCCATCTGTTCCGCTGTTGTTGAGTCTTAGAAATTGGTCTTCCTTTTTTGTCTTTGACTGGTCTCTCTGGTTTACTATATTTCCCTGCTAGTTTCTTCGTTGTATCGTAAAGCTGTTTCATATTTCCTTCTCTTGCAGCTTTCTCCGCCGTTGTTGCTAGTTCTTCCACGTATTTCTGCTTGTCGGCTCTAATGCTCTTCTTCACTTGCTTGTTCTTCTATGTATTCAGTTTGTGCTTGGACTTTCTCTGCTCGTGTTCGACTATTGTTAATTGCTGTCTTCTTCTTCTTCTTCCTTTCCTTGATCCTGTCCAATGTTTCTATAGAGATCCATTCCTTGTGATGATGCTTCTTGGGGCCCAGAACCTCTTGACACGTTGAAGTTAATGCTTCTTTGATACCTTTCCAGTTATCCTCCATAGTAGTTTCTTCTTCCTTCAGTTGATCCTGTAGGGCTTGGAACCTGTCTTGAATTCATCTATCTTGAATTCATTGAGTTTGTCAGTATCTCGAAGGAAGGCTGTACTGAATCTTTGCAGCGCTGTTTGTCCAGTTGTCCAGTTCTTTTTTAGATTCAGTTTTAAATTGGCTACAACCAGGTGGTGATCTGAAGCAATATCCGCTCCTCTCCTGGTTCTCACATTTCTCATTGTCCTTCGGAACTTTTCATTGATGAAAATATGATCTATCTGATTCTCTGTGGTGTGGTCCGGTGAGATCCATGTAGCTTTGTGTATACGTTTGTGTGGAAATATTGTGCCGCCTATGACCAATTTGTTGAATGCACACAGATTTACAAATCTTTCCTTGTTTTCGTTCCTCTCTCCCAGTCCATGCAGTCCCATGATATCTTCATATCCGGTGTTGTCTATTCCGACTTTGGCGTTTAGATCTCCCATCAGAATGGTGATGTCCTTTCTTGGGCACTTCTCTATGATTGATTGCAGCCTCTCACAGAATTGATCTTTAACGTCGTCGTTGCTATCATTTGTGGGTGCATAACATTGGATAACGTTCATTGTGATCCCCTCCTTCTTTGTTTTGAATGATGCTTTGATGATTCTGGATCCGTGAGATTCCCATCCTACAAGAGCATTTCGCGCTACTTTGAACAGCATTAGAGCAACTCCCTGAGTGTGTGGAGCATTGTCCTCTTCGTGACCGGAGTATAGCAGCATCTCTCCCGTATTTAGCCTTTGTTGTCCAGCTTGGGTCCAATGGGTTTCGCTGATTCCCAGTACTGCCAAGTTGTATCTCCTCATTTCCGTTGCTATTTGACTGGTTTTTCAGGTCTCCCACATTGTCCGGACGTTATATGTACCTATAAAAATTGTTGCTCTGGTTGTTAGAAGGGGCATCGGCCTCATGGCTTCCGAAGGAACTCGGCTTTCACCCTGAGGCGTCATATTTTTTCTAAATGAAGACCTCCGAACTCCGAGGGCAGAGTTTAAATGGTTTGAGTTATTTTTTCTGGCTAGCGTTTTTTAGCGAGTTAGTTTTCTACGGGATGGGTACGCTAACCCCATGCCCAACCCTCCTCCTTTACCCGGGCTTTGGACCGGCAGTAACTCTAGGAGAGCTACAGGCGGGTATTGATTTACCTTTGAATGGTACAAAAACACCTGATGTGTTGCATAGTGAAACTAATTGAGAGGTGGGGAAGCTTTTCAGTACCTCCTTAATTCTCCTATCGATTCTTCATTAAATTTCATCTTTTGAGCGGAACGTGGACGAAGAAGGGTCCCTTTCCAACAGTTAGTTGTTTATCATACCTGGGGTATTCTTTCCCATATTTCGTAATAAATTTCCTCGGGTATCCATTTTTCATAAGATGCCTTTCCAGAATAACCAATTCCTCCCTTATTTTGACATTTGAGCATAACGTCCTAGCTCTACTGGAGGACGTTTTGACTAAACATCTTTTGTAACTGATAGGACAAAAGCTGTTCAAGTTGAAAGACTGTCCTGTCCATATTTCTTTCTTATACATACTTTCTTCAAGACCACCATCATTTTTCCGTCTTACACTAAGATCTAAAACATTGAATTGGTTATCTTTTTCATATTCGATTGTAAAAGTTATGTTGCGATGAGAGTTGTTGACTAAGTAACGAAAAAGCAAGGTTCATATCAACACAAATAATGAGCGTATCGTCAAGGTATCTGGTGTAGCATGTTATGTTCTGGACTTCGTGTTTTAGTTTCGTTTGTTCTAGGCTAGCCACGAAGATGTCAATCAAGATAGACCTTAGTGGTAATCCCATAGCCACTTCATGGGTTTGTTTGTATAGTTGATTGTTGAATTGCAAAAGAACCCATTCCATGCAAAGTGGTAATTTTCTCAACTCATCTTTAGGCAAAATAAGTAACTCAGACTGTTCGCAAATTATATTGATAGTTTCTTCTAGAGTGTACTAGTAGATAATGGACACACATCAAAAGTTACCATGAATTTATCTGATATATTCAATTGGTCCATTTCACTAGAAAACTGAAATGTGTCTTTTAAACTACTGGTCACCAGTTTTCTATGAATTGGTCCTAATAATTTGTCTAACCATCGAACCAACTTTTGATGGTGTTGACTTAGTGATCTGCGTTGTACTATAACACACTATAGTCGATGCTTTGTATTGTCTTATGAAATTTACATACTGTTGAGATTTATTTAATAACGTTTATTAAGATGATTGATATACGAAACCCTAGGAATTATCTTGAAGACTATCCACAACAGTCTATCTTTTAAATAATGTAGATGTTGTTCAGGTTTAGCAAAACGACAATGAACAATTTAATAATCACATTATTCGGGCAGAGCGAACGCGACAGCACTAACAAAAATAATATTATTTATTGAATAAAACTAAAAATCAGGTCTATACCTAAAAAACTCACTTTGATAATGATTTGTAAATCATCGAAACTACCATTTTCTGATGTTTTGATAAGATTTTTAATTAAATCACTCGGAACAACAGCTGCAGCCTCATCTAATTCTTTTGAGGTAATCGAAGAACGACAACCGACATCGGAATCATCGACGGATATAATTAACTGATGAACACATTGTAACATTGTGATACCTTGCCGTAAATCACCATGACAAAGTGACAGTAAATGATCCAATGTCTAAATAACAATATTGTTTTAGGAAGATAATAAGATTGTAGGAAAAATAATTTAATGCATAATATGGAGTTACAATGAATATCCATACATTCTAGTGTTGTATGTTCAGTACAACGACATTAAATTGTTAACCAGCTACACAAATCTTACTTCAATTAATAAACATTATAATTGTGAGATATATAAATATAAGATAGGTAAATACCTGCAATTCATCAAACTGATAGCCTAACAAAAGTCTTTTTTTTAGTTTAAAAGCTGAATCAGATGAACTGGACAACTGACTTACTACTGATTAGGTTCTAAGGTTGAATTTGGCATACACAGATGATGGTCAATGTTAAAGCAATTAACTCCTTTTATAAATTTCGATAGATCAATGAGAATACGAAGTTGATCTGAAAAATGTGATGTATTTGCGCTAAATATTTCGAACAATCTGGTCACACATATACTTGTTAGGACATATTATATGAAAATTAATAAAGGTTAATTAAATGAAAGTTCAAGTAAACAAAGCAAAAAAAGGAGAAAAAAATTGACATCGTATAGTAAGAATAGGAAATTGTTGCATTACCCTAAGCCAGGGTAAATTCAAGGTTATGACAAATCGTTTTGTACACATAAGAGGAGTTTGAATTTACGAGTAGTCAAGGCTTAAAAAAACTTGAGAACTTGTGCTTGACAATACAACGTTTTAAAAGCTGTATTGATAACAATTATATGCCCCGTTTCAATTATGTGTTTTGCTATCGATGAACATGGTTTTCTACTTCCCACCTTTATCGAAACATTTGACATTAACTGGTTCTGAAGCCATCTAGCACATGTTCCATAACCCTAAATTGCATTATTCGTTTAGTCCTCCCAATGTCTGAGATTAGGAAACAGAGAAACAGGTGGGTAGAACACGTTGAGAAATTCTTAAGTAGACTAGCTCCATCGAATCCACCGGATATCGGAGCAGCACACACAGATCTTCCTATAGATGTCACTCTATCAACGATTGAAGATATCAGGATGGTCATCAGACAAACCAAGAGCGGGAAAGCAGCAGGACCTGACAATGTACCAGCTCAAGCACTAAAGTCAGACATAGAAGTAACTACGAACATGCTTCACGTACTATTCAGGAATATTTAGGAGGAAGAACAAGTGCCTACGGACTGGATAGAAGGACATCTCATCAAGATACCAAAGAAAGATCTGAGAAAATGTGAGAACTACAGGGGCATCACACTACTATTAGTATCAGCAAGGGTTTTCAACAGAGTTGCTGAACTGGATAGAAAACTCAGTAGACGCCCAACTTCAAGATCAGCAGGCTGAACTCCGTAAGGATTGGTCGTTCACACACCAAATCGCGACACTACGGATCATCGTTGAACAATCAGTTGAGTGGAACTCGTCACTATACATCGACTTCCTTGATTGTGAGAAAGCATTTGACAGTGTAGATAGAGGAACATTATGGAGACTTCATCGACACCATGGAGTACTTGAGAAGATCGTCAAAATCATCCGCAATTCATACGATACACTACAGTCCATAGTCGTTCATGGAGACGCATTCCAAGTAAGGACCGGAGTCAGACAACACTGCTTACTCTCCCTCTTTCTCTTTCTTTTGGTGGTCGACTGGATTATGAAGACCTCGAATTCTGAGGAAAAGTACAGAATACAATGGACAGCTTGGAATCAATCAAGAGATTTGGACTTCGCAGATTACCAAGGCCTTTTATCCCATACACACGAACCAATGCAGATGAGGACGACTAGTGTAGCAGCAGCCTCTGAACCAGTGGGCCTCAACATACAAAAAGGAAAAAGCAAGACCCTCAAATACAACACGGAGAACACCAAACAAGCCAATCAAACTTGATGGAGAAGCTCTGGAAGATGTGTAATCCTTTACGTACCTGGGGAGCATCATTGATGAACAAGCAGGATCCGATGCAGATGTAAAGGCAAGGATTGGCAAAGCAAGGACAGTATTCCTACAACTGAAGAACATATGGAGCTCAAAACAACTGTCTTTCAACAAATATCAAAGTCACAATTTTCAATACGAACGTCAACGCAGTCCTACTCTACGGAGCTGAAACCTGGGGAACTACTACAACCATCATCAAAATGGTACAAGTATTTATAAACAATTGTCTACGCAAGATACACAATATTGAAAATTTAGCATATAAACTATGTTTGCAGACAATCAGTTCTGACTGTGAGATCGTCTACATTTCTTGAACTTATCAGGTAGGATTTTATGAGGGCGCTTTTGTTTACAAATATAATTTACTGTTAAACGATAAGAAATTTAGTGTATGAGAACAACTATTGACTTAATTTATCTGGGTAGATATATGGTCAGCCAGTCAAGCAGAACGTTGGGCCTGGAGCATATATGATTCAGTTCGAGTTGCTACACCGAATCAGCACAGCAAAATGGAATTATTAACACAAATGCCAGAGTAATAGAAGTAGTGAGATTGTCAACATAAGTAGAGTATATTAAATATAGGTGATATGGTTTAAGAAAAACCGAATATAAAGAAGCATATATTTGGATAAACAAATGAGAAAACAAATGTTACCAGAATTATGTGACATATTTGAGTAAACTGATCACATTTATACGTATACGTAAGGAAAAATAAAAGGTTAATTAGACTAACTTGAAGACAACAGGAAACAAAGATGATAATAAAGTAAATAATGTGAAAACCACACTGGATAATCAGTATTACTAGGGAGTAGGCTAAGGGTTAGAACAAACTGTTTTTGAGCACACATCTAAGGCTTCAATAAACCTCAGTATCAAAATCATAACCTGTCTTAATCAAATGTTTTGCAATAGAGGAAGATATTTGTTTATCCTGTGACAATATTTGGCCATCGAAGTTCATTGGCTTTTGTAACCATTTAAATGAATTCAACCACCCATACCTGAAGATCACGATTGTTCCTCTGTTTCCGCATATGCATGTAAATTGATAGACGTAATAGAACGATTATGAGTTAAGGTGTGTAAAATGTCTCACTAGTAGCTAATTTATTTATTCATTTCAACATAAGACTATATGATTTGCGCCTGAATGGTACGGTAAAATAGACTATTATTTATTATTATTATTATTATTTTAACACATAAGTATAGGTACAGGGAGGCACCAAATACATATGCGCCACACAAATCTCAATTGATTTGTGTGAGGGCTGTGATACTGCCCGGGTGCCCAGACCGAAGCAGATGGTTTTCTTAGGGGGCCACACCCCGAGCCTTTGACCTGAAGATTTGATCCACAAGGCAGTGGAGCATCGTAAGGAGATACGGTCCCATGGTAGCCGGTGACCAACGATTGGTTCATACGCCATTTGTTCCTTTAGGATACTGGAGCCCATGTGCACCATTGGTTTGGGGTCCGGTTCAAGCGCCAGACATTCGCTTTTCGTCCTCTCATTTTTGTAAACAACACCCCCGCCACGTGAAGGCAGTAAGTAGGACTTCCCTGGCAGAGGCTATATACGCATGGCCATGTGAGAGCATTTCGAGAGGGAGAGCGGTCTCTCCCCACTCTCGGCCGTACCAGGGCATTTGGGGGCGGTAAAATAGACTAGTTGTTTGGGTACCAGAAGCATAGTAGGTCTCATCATAACGTTCCTTTTCCATCGGCACATAAACCTTAATGATTAACCTTTATTCATCAATGTTTCAGTCAAAAGATTTACTTTCCCCTCAATGTAAATACAATTGATTCCTGTAACTAGACCGTTTTTATAAACCCTACGTGTGTGCTGGACTGAACAGTAACTATGAAAACTAAGAAATTTTCTTGTCCATGTTGGCTTTCTACATAAAGAACATTTGATAGGACCATCATTTCTTCCACCAACTAATTTATCCAGAAAGGGGAGCAGGTTATGCATCTCTCAATAGTTGAGAGGACAGGGTTTTCCAATCTCACTATTCCTCTTCAACGTTGCCATCGATGACGTTCTGGGAACAACTCTGATGGGTGGTGTGAATCTGTTGACTGGAAAAAGACTTTTTAACCTTGAGCGTGCGGGTGATATTGTCTTACTGTCCAATGGTATTCAAATCGTGCAATCCGCACTTAATCCGTTGGTAATCAGTGTCCGTAGGTATAGCATGTGATTTGGACGGTCTAAGTGCAAAGTAACTTTATAAGACTGACAGAAGCATGTGCCTGCACCTACTCTTGGTAGTAAGCAGTTAGAAGTAGTCAAGAATTTCGTGTATCTGGGTAGCTGCACAAGTGCTGGTGGTGGTGTGAGTGATGGGATCAATTCACGTGTAGCGAAGCCAGAGCGGCTTATGCCAATCTGGGTTATCATTGGCGCCTTCGTGATGTTGGTCTGGTGGTAAAAGGTCGGATCTACAACGCGTCGGTGAGAAGAGTTTTACTCCATGCCTGTGAAACCTGGCCTCTCCTAGTTAAGTACGTCAAGCAATTCTCCGTGTTTGATCATCGTTGTCTTTGAAGGATTGCTGATATCCAGTGGCAACACCATATCAATAATGCAGAAGTTCGGCATCATATGTTCAGGCACAATGACGACAATTCAATTAGTGTCACTATCTTAAAACATCGACTTCAGTGGCTTGGACTTGTTTTACGTCCCAGTGAACTCCACGTCGTGCATTATTTGCCGACGTTGGGACTGGTTGGAAAAAGCAGAGGTGGTCAGTGTATGACATGGTGTCACGGCATGAAAGGAAGCTGTACAGGACTGGCTTCTGTTGGACCTTCACGACTACCTGGTTGGAGTCTTAGAAACGGTGTGATATAGTGGCTTGTGACTTTATCGGAAATGGTTTAGAACAGTGGTGATCCTGTTGTAACATTCTTTGACTTGATTCATAAAAGTGAGTAGGTTTCTTAACTGAAACAATTCTTTTTGTTTGTATTTTATCTAACCGAGCTTTTTCTCCTATTATTATTATTGTTATTATTATTATTATTTCACTCCCACACGCTAATTTATATTTGTTGTTATACCCCCGAATGCCCTGGTACGGCCGATAATGGGGAGAGTCCGCCCACCCTCTCAAAATGCTCTCACATGGCCACGTGCATACAAACACTACCAGGGAAGTCATACTTGCTGCTTTGTTTACAAAATTGAGAGGACGATGACAAAGCGAATGTCCGGCGCCTCAACCGAGCTGGTGGATATGGAAGATTCACCTAGGGGAGTTTGAAAACCCTGATTCCAAACTAATTCTCTACATGGGCTCCAGTATCCTGAAGGTACAAATGGCGTATGAACCAATCGTTGGTCACCGGCTACCATGGGACTGTATCTCCTTACGATGCTCCACTGCCTTGTGGATCAAATCTTCAGGTCGAAGGCTCGGGTGTGGCCTCCTAAGAAAACCATCTGCTTCGGTTTGAGCACCCGGGCAGTATCACAGCCCTCACAATTATCAAATGAGATTTGTGTGGCGCATTTGTATTTGGTGCCTCCTTGTACCAATATCTATGTGTTCAAATAATAATAATAAATTATACTCAATTTACTTTCTCTGTCACTACAGCCTCATTTTTGTTGTGTGGCGCATATATATATATATATATATATATATATATATATATATATATATATATATTAATGGCTTTATTCAATATTATATTTTGGTACAATTTAGAATTCTTAGAACAACCTACCTCATTAGTAATGGATAAATTTTCTGCATCTGCAATATAACGTAAACGAGCACGTGCAATTTCATTATCTAAAGGATGAAATCTAAACTTTGCACATCGACTTGTGATTGGTTCAATAATTCGTGTAACATAATTACAAGTTAAACAAAACCGTGTAGTTCTCATTTCAGTCTCCATTGTACGACGTAGAGCAGCCTAAATAATTGAAGGACAGATAAATTGATAAGCATTATGAAATATATATATATATATATATATATATTACAGAATGTGGTATTATAATTTGAATTGTCGCAAATCTGTGACACCCTACGTGGATTATGACTGACTAATATTGACTAGTTGAAAATATAAGAAAATTAGAAATACAACCAAATAATACATCTACAGATATTTTTGAAAAACCGTTACAAACATTTCGGATGTAAAACCAAAAGCCCGGTAAGGGTTAGTATTTCCTTAAGCAATATATCTGAAAGATCCGTTTAAAATATTGAGTGGTGGTCCAAGTTATCGTTTGACAATTTTTAATACACATTTAACCTCTTAAAATTAGGATATTTGAATGATTTTTCTGTAAATTTTCCATAAGTTCGTGTAACTCCATGTTCTTAAGCGTGTACGAAATGCATTATTATCTGACCGGAATTACTCCTGCAAACTCAGTTAAACATTATCCATTGATTCAATGTATTTGGTTTGATTGAGGATTAATCAATCAATTAGTTTGTTTATAACCGGAATGAAAACAAACAGAAAAATAACACAATTATATGGAATTGAAATATGCACAAAAAAAGGAAATATACTTGTGCAGGTGCTGTCATAGAATCAGCTTCATCTAAGATTATTAATTTATATGGTGGTATATTAGTTGAACTTGAACCAGAGCTATTAGTACTACTACTAACAGCGATGTGAGCAAAAGCCTTCACTTTTTCTCGAATAACACTGATCCCGCGTTCATCGCTCGCATTCAATTCTAAAACACGTTCTGAATACCAAGGGCTTGAAAAGAAAAGAAGATAGTTCATCAGAGAAAACAAAGGACAAAACATTTGAGACTTGGAGAAAATACGATTATATCGAAAAGATAAAACCCGTTGTACAAGATCATGAATCGATTGAAGCTAGACATGAACACCGTTGAATGTCGGCTCAGTGATATAGAGATTAAGCGTTCGCACGAGAAACCGAAGATCCTGGGCTCGAGTTCAAAATGCGAGATCGTGGACGTACACTGCTGAAGATTCCTATACTAGAATGAAACGGCCGTCCAATGCTTCCAGGTTTTCAATGGTGGTCTAGCTTACATCAACTCATGAATTCAACTTTTTAAATTCACTTTATCTAGCCTGTAAACTATTTTAAGGTCTTAATAATAATTTTGGTAGAACTACAAAGAGGGGAAAAGCTAAGTGATATTGATTGTTACTAGGATAATTATGTGATCCAGAAACTACACCAACCTGTTAGACTGATATGATGAACCAGAATCTGTTTAACTATTAATTGAACGCTTGTCAGTACTTAACACCAAGGTATACCAAAAACTTAAGACAAATCTCTTCTTTTCTACATGTTCAAACTGACAGTGGTTAGTCATGTGGTCGGATGTATTTGTATCGTTTCAAGACGCATGGGTTACTCTATCTTCCGGACAGACCGATTTATTCATTCTTTTCAAGTCACATTTGACCTTGTTAATTGTTCGCTTATTAAACTTGACTGTTCTCATGTTAGCGTGTGTTTACATTACATATCCTACCCCACACATGTTTGTAACTTATTTTTGTCTGACTATAAATGCCGAGTCACACTTGATCAAATGGGGTTGGCTCACTTGCCATCTCCGCTCCACTTCTCTCTTCCCCGCTTTTTATTCTGAACGTCTATCTGGAAAAAAGAATACTTGAAATAAATTCCACCGATACAACCTGTATTTGGCTTTTTATTACAGCCGTCACACAAACAGGGTTAGCCTAGGTAATACACGGAGTTAAATGGAAGATTTATGTTCATATCATATTTATACGTTCATTCAAATCGGAGTTAGATTGGACGGCTATAAGGTGATTTGTTTACAACATGATAATTAGCTTATTAATACCCAAATGCCCCCGAATCCCATGGTACGGCCGAGAGTGGGGCGAGTCCGATCTCCCTCTCGAAATGCTCTCACATGGCTACGTGCATACAACCACTACCAGGGAAGAACTACTCACTGCCTTCTCGTGGCGGGGGTGTTGTTTACAAAAATGAGAGGATGAAAAGCGAATGTCTGGCGCTTGAACCGGACCCCAAACCAATGGTGCACATGGGCTCCAGTATCCTAAAGGAACAAATGGCGTATGAACCAATCGTTGGTCACCGGCTACCATGGGACTGTATCTCCTTACGATGCTCCACTGCCTTGTGGATCAAATCTTCAGGTCGAAGGCTCGGGTGTGGCCTCCTAAGAAAACCATCTGCTTCGGTTTGAGCACCCGGGCAGTATCACAGCCCTCACACAAATCAATTGAGATTTGTGTGGCGCATATGTATTTGGTGCCTCCTTGTACCAATATCTATGTGTTCAAATAAATAAATAAATAAATAATACCCTTGAATGATACACAAAGATAAGAGAACTCGAACATTTAAGATAATATTACGTGTAAATTATGACCGTAGTCGCTTATTATTTTGATGTGAATATCTTCACTTCGTACACAACCTATGTAGTGAAACTAGTAAGTGATTTTATTAGCATCACTTTTGTTCTTATCATCCTAATGTTGCCATCGCTAACGACAAATTTAAAGTTTTCTTTCCTTTACGTTGGTGTGAAACAATTAATAAGACCGATGCTGTAGATGCACAACACGAGGTATTTGGTCTGAATAACTAATAATAATTACATATCAGTTAACAATTTAAAGCTAAAACAAATGGTTGGATAATGGTCGGCATAACGTATGACTTATCCTATTTGTGACATGTCGGTTGGATGTACCTGCATCCATGTTAGCGTCTACTTCGGAACTCGAACCCAGTGCCTTTCACTTTAAATACCTAACCACTGAGTCCAGATATCCATTGATCTGTGCAACGGCGATGAATTTCATTTCGTTTGTGTCTGTATCTTCCAGTTGTCGATGTTAAGGACTACAACTGGTCAGTTACTTTTGGTTTACATGGATCATAGGGAAATTGTCACAATCACTTTCCGAAACAGTTAAAAACTAAATAAAACAAATGGTTTTAAGGACTTAATATTTAACAAAATAACAAGAATATTGCATCAACTCTTAGAAATCTTAAAAGTGAAATAAAACATACTCACTGCATTAGCTCTTAATCACTCCACAATAACAATTATGCCCATATTAGTTACAACTTTTAATCTCAACAAAATAATACGGCGTAAGAATGTCAAAATAAAGAACCAGGATAATTACTACCATGGAGGTCCTATGTTCAGTACTGAGTTCAACCTATGGGAAATGTGAATGAATATCTTACCCAAAAAGTTGACGAGCCAAAGCCAAGATCAGAGACGTTTTTCCAGTTCCCGGTGGTCCATAAAACAGCAAATTTGGCAACTAAACAGAAAATGTAAAAGCCAAAACAGACGTACATCAGAACCTTCAATACACCTTTGAAGAACGCTAACAACTTCTGTTTGATAAGCTACTTCATCTATTGTTTTTGGTCGACTACATCGATTAGCTTTTTATAGAGAAAAACTAACTATTTTTCAACCCAAGGGATGTGTTTTTGACTATTTATGCGTCGTTTATTATCTTGGGGCTTTTGTTTGAATCCAGTGAGGAAAGCTTCCATTATAATAGATACCTTACTATAGATAAGTCAACAGAAGTACCTAAAACGAAAGCACAGAGATTTATATTATGGAATCTGATAAAAATAACACAAATTATAGGTAATAACAATAATGTGTTTTCCGAGTACAGCAGGAAACGGATTTCTTTAGAAGTCTCGAAAGTTGAGATAAATGTGGTTTCTGTCTGAGTTGGTCAAATTACAAAATATATAATCACCTCTATTTGTGTCTATGAATAAGGATAAGGTTGGCACTAAGTGCTTCTGTTCGAAAAAATAACTGGATGACACGGTGAGATGTGATTACAAAGATCCCAACTTACAAGCACAAACGTAAAACCTGGGGCATAAGCGTTATTTCAAGTCGACCTACAACATTTTCGCAGATTGATTTGGAAAGGTGAGTGGTAAAGAAATAGAAAAAATGTAGTAACAATCATAGTGAGAGACTGAGTATAGTCTTGAAAATGCTCAAGACCACCAACAATTTACGTATTAATTCAAAGTAATAAATTCGCCACAACAATTACCGACTTGCTCATTAAAATGAACACGTGTTCTTATGTTAAAAACAAGGGGCAAAAAGATGGCAAATCTATTGCACAGAGCAAGACCTTGATTTCAAAATCAGTCCAATGGCAATTTCTCCTAATTCCGAAGAAACTGCTGTCGGGACACAGATGAATTTATATCTAAACTCCTCAAAGTGGAACACAACGAACTTAGAACTAACAGTGAACTCTTATTTACACTGGTGTTAACTATTCTGGAGCATTAAATATGACAAACCAAATGCTGGATGTGAGTGTATAAATTCATTTTGGTATTACGGATAAATCAAGTAGCCGATAGTAATCCTTGGACTCGCGGTCTGCAAAATCGCAGATTACTCAAAGATATAATCGACGATTATGCCTTCCACTAAAAAAAAATGGTATTCAATTGGTTAAATACTGACTCAGAAGGACTAACAAATCGAACCACCGACAGAACCTAAGAATTTCGAATGGTATTCCGGTGAAAGAATTACGGGAAACGCGCGAATAGTCAGCCAATAACAGTCGAAAGTTATCCTTATGTTTTCAATTTCAAAAAAATAATAAAATGTTTGTTGAGAATAACAATTGATAACTTTTAGTAACTAGCTCCGACTTAATGAAAAAGCACGCATAATACCAAAAAAATTTCACACCCAACGCGCGCTATTTAAAAGGAAAGTGGTATTTTTCCTCGCTAAGTAATTTATATTGTTTTGATCGTTTATCACGTATCAAGACTACTCTTTACACTTTGATTGAATTTATTTCAGTTAAAGTATCCGATAAGAGTATCGTTTATATTTCTAAGGTAGTTTATCGTCGGTACTTCTGAGTTCTTTGTTTTCTATTGTATTTGCTAGTATATTTGGTGCTAACAATTTACACTTTTCCACTCTTTTGGTCATAGATCCCTTTTGCCTATGCGATTTATTGTATATACGTTTTTTAAAAAAGGCCTAGGTTTGATGCCTCGGCAGTGCAGGAAAAGCGATTGTCAACGTCCAGGCTGTCGACATCCCGTTGAAAGCGCTATGCAGTCCAGTGAGTGCATGGCTGGCACCACAAAGTCTGCACGAATTTAACGCCTGTGGATTTCAAACAGTTTAGTAAAAATGGTTGCGTATGGATTTGTATGGCTTAACAGTGCTGTTCGGATTCAAACAGCTTACAAACCGAGGCCATTTCAATGGTAAATGCTGCAAAAAGCTTATTAGCAAGCAAGGTTGGGAAACATCAGACAACACTCGCTCTGTCGATACACAAGTTGATGTGATGCCACCCCATGTGAACTCGAAAACAGCCGACTCATATCAATCGAAGGAGGAAAGACCGTGTTCAATGAGGTCTGTCCTGAAAAAAATCCAAGAAAGGAAATTTCCTCTGTACCCTGTCCTCTAAATGATATCCAGCGAGAAACTCTCAGGAGTCGAACTAGCAAGGCTCGACCTGTTTCCAACAGGAAACACAACCTGACTGACCAAATTCTCGATAACCCTCCGGAATCCCACAGTATGTTTGATGCAACTTTGGTTGCTACTCCAACAGAAGTTGACGACTGGGTACAGATCGTGAACAAGAAACGACATAACAGCATAAAAGAAAATCAAACCTTTGAAAAATAATCGAGAAATCAAAGACTGATCATGGTGACGGGTCAGTTGTTTTTCAAAGAAACACGGGGCCCGATTAACTGCAGGCAAGGTTGCTAAAGGAATTAGCTAACTTCGTGTCTAACCCTTCAAGTATGTGCTTTAATCTATTTGTAACCCAGGGTCGATTACCAAAAGACTGGAAGAACGCTATAATAAGTCCTGTCTTCAAAACAGTTACGAAACATAAACCTGAGAACTACCGACCCGTCAGCCTAACTAGTGTGGTTGTTAAAATCTTAGTAAAGATTATTCGGAAGGAGCTGTTTAAGTACCTCGATGTAAACCGGATCCTTTCGGAGAAGCGGAACGGTTTCAGAATAGGTTATTCTTGTCACACTAACTTATTGGTCGCTCGTGAAATCTGGCGTGCTCTTAAGGACCAAACGTTACCTACATTGATTTCAGCAAATCTTTTGACAAAGTTCCGCACAACCGGCTGTTATATAAGCTAAGAAATGTCGGAGTTGAAGGCGATCTATTGATGTGGATAGAAGACATCCTAGTTGAGCGCCAACAAAGAGTACGGGTGAACTCAAAGTTATCTAGATGAGAAACTGCGAATTAACAAGGAGACTCCAAAGAGTTCACAAACCCAGAACAAATCACTTGTCAGCTGACTACCGACTTTCCCATCGAATCATCAACGAGTAGAATTCATTTCCTCAACATGTGATTGAATCTCCATTTGTCGACTCTTTCAAAAGAATGTTGAATCAACTGTGAGACCATTGTTGCCAGGATTAACACACTCCATCGAGTCTCCTATCCTTTACAAACTGAAACTGAAATCTGTTGATCAATAAGATTGCTTAGTGTCTCAAAGTATCTGATTGGAGTTACCTGTGGATAGCCTATTGATGACACTCGGGACGACAACCAAAAGCCGGAAAGGTCGAGTCGTTTTGCCCTCCTAAGACACGGTGATAATATTGGGGGGGGGGCTCACAAATAATAGGGGAGATTGGGAGGAAGCCAACTCAGTAATTTGACAGAGAAATTCAAAAAAAATTTACGCTGAAAATAGGTCTTCACCAATGAAAAGTTCGAAGGTGTTAGCCTCTCAATTTCACCTCGCTTAGGAGAAAATGATCAAACTAAAACGTCCTGCGCACAGTAATGTATGAAGTCTCAGATGGTTAAATGCGTCGTTTTTGAAAGACAGTCTATAGCAGCCGAACTAAGGAGACTTCTCTGGAGATTTTCACTACATCTTACATGTTATGAATCAGTTTTTCCCCGAAAATAGTCGCTAAAAGGTATGAATAACCTAAGAGAATACTGAATAACAGCTGTAAAGAAAACAAAGTATCACTGAGAACAACGTATGTAAAAGCTAAGACAAGTAATGGGCCTTATGAAAAGATTAAAACCAGTACCAGATAAACCCGATCAACAGATTCGCCTTCATTCCTAAAGGCTTATTTCGTCATGCAACATCTTTCTGACAAGCTAAATCATAGGGCTACCTGTTATTGGGCTCTAATGACCTAGCCAACAAGCATGATGCTACAGTGTTTTTGGTATGACTTCCAAATATTTCAGCCACTGTCCAGAATCTGCATCATCAGTGACGTCCACTTGAGCTCAGCATGAGTCTCAAAATGAATCCACCTGCACAAATGTCCTTCAACCACGGTAGCTGAAGAACACATCTACTTGACCATATATGGCCGTTTTCACTCTGGTACCATCACCTGGTTTACTATTCCCACGTATCGCAAAACAAAGAGTTGTAACATAGAACTGAAAGATAACACGAATGACTCCAGCCACCGAAAGTGTTTGACTCGAATTACCGGCCAATAACTCTTCTTCCAATCGTCAAGAGGGTTGGAAAATCTTTGATTCACAACTGGTTGAATGACCATTTGTTGTCTGCAAATTATTATTACACTAAATGAATAACAGGCTAAGTTCAGACCGAAATACCAACTACCTCAGATCATAGAACTTGAGGTCTCGGTACAGAACATTTGCCATTTCATAGTTTGCATAGATGTTCTTTATCAGCAACTATCTTATATGACGTTTTTTAGCTGATATTAAACTTCGGAGCAAGACTTACAGCCAGAATGATAAGCTAGCACTTCCGAAGGATTTGTCACGTCTTCAAATTTGTCACAACTACGATGGACTCACTGACGCCTATCAACCCTCCTGAATGGGTACAAGCCATCGACCAGGATTCTCTAAGAAACCATTTCCAGGGCCTCCTTCACAACCCTCGCCAAGTGTTATTTATTCTTAGATGTCGAGCGCCAACTCGCTATGCGAAGCGCCCTTTGGTCTTTCTCCCTTCCTAATGGCTTTTTGGTTTCAAATTAAAACTTACCTTATGGTTCAGTTTGATGATTTCTGAAATTCATGACCTGGTCACCTCTATAATCTCTACCTAACGTCCTTTTCAGCTAGAAACTGTTTTATTCTCTCCCACAGTAGGTTGTTGCTGATGGCATCCAGCCGACGGACATCAAGTTTCTCACATAGACTTACATACTTACTTACGCCTGTTACTCCCAATGGAGCGTAGGCCGCCGACCAGCATTCTCCAACCCACTCTGTCCTGGGCCTTCTTTTCTAGTTCCATCCAATTCTTGTTCATTTTTCTCATATCTATCTCCATTTCCCGGCGTAATGTATTCTTTGGTCTTCCTCTCCCCCTTCGACCTTGAGGATTCCATATGAGGGCTTGTCTTGTGACGTAGTTGGGTGTTTTCCTCAATGTGTGTCCTATCCACTTCCAGCACTTCTTCCTGATTTCTTCCTCCACTGGGATCTGATTTGTTCTCTCCTACAGTAGGTTGTTGCTTATAGTGTCCGGCCAGCGGATCTGAAGTATTTTGCGTAGACAACTGTTAATAAACACCTGTATCTTTTGGATGATGGATTTCGTAGTTTTCCAGGTTTCCGCCCCATACAGTATAACTGTCTTGGCATTTGTAATGAAAATTCTGAGTTTGGTGTTGGTTGCTAACTGTTTTGAGTTCCAGATATTCTTCAGTTGTAAATATGCTGCTCTTGCTTTGCCAATCCGTGCCTTCACATCTGCATCAGATCCACAGTGTTCATCGATGATGCTGCCCAAATATGTAAAGGTTTTTACATCTTCCAAAGCTTCTCCGTCAATTGTGATTGGATTGGTGCATGCTGTGTTGTACCGGAGAATCTTGCTTTTCCCTTTGTGTATATTGAGACCTATTGCTGCTGAGGCTGCTGCTACACTGGTTGTCTTCTCCTGCATTTGTTGTTGCGTATGCGATAGAAAAGCCAGATAATCTGAGAAGTCTAGATCATCCAACTGCATCCTAGCTATCCACTGTATCCCGTGCTCCCCTTCAGATGTTGATGTCTTCATGATCCAGTCGATCACCAGGAGAAAGAGAAAGGGTGAGAGTAAGCAACCTTGCCTGACACCGGTCTTTACTTCGAACGACTTTGTCAACTGTCCTCCATGCACGATTTTGCAGTTTAATCCATCATAGGAATTCTGTATGATATTGACTATCTTCTGAGGCACGCCGTATTGTCGAAGAAGCTTCTATCCACTCTATCAAATGCTTTTTCGTAGTCGATGAAGTTGATATAGAGTGATGAATTCCATTCAATTGATTGTTCCACAATGATCCGTAGAGTTGAGATTTGGTCTGTGCACGATCTATCCTTACGGAATCCTGCCTGTTGTTCTTGAAGTTGGGCGTCTACGGAGTCCTTCATCCTGTTTAACAATACCCTGTTGAAGACTTTTCCTGATATTGAAAGAAGAGTGATTCCCCTGTAGTTGTCACAGTTGCTGAGATCGCCTTTCTTTAGCGACAATCGTTTATAAATACTTGTACTTTTTCGATAATGGTTGGGGTAGTTCTCGAGGTCTCAGTTCCGTACAGTAAAACTATT